AATTTATAAATTATCAAGGGTTCATGAGGAAGGGGGGAGGAGGGAGGGAGGGAGGGGAAAAATGAGCTAGGAAATGTTTTCAGAATGATGGCAATAAATGTACAAATGTGCTTGACACAATGGATGTGTGGATGGATTGTGATAAGAGTTGTATGAGCCCCCAATAAAATTTAAAAAAAAATTAAAAACAAGTAGAACTTCATTTTGCTAGGTCTTCTTAAAAAGATATTGCCACGAGGAGGAGAGCAAATATAAACTTAGGTCCAAATAACAATACCGGTATAATGCAATTCAGTAGTAAAAAGAAGGTAACCGAATGTGTGTAGTGTAATCCCATGTAGGACACCATTGGAGCCCTGGTGGCAGAATCATTACCCGTTGGGCTGCATCATCAGTGAGGTGCATCCCATTTCAGAGATGTTAAAATGTAAAAGAGCTTGACCCAATGGATGAATGTATGGACTGTGATAAGAGCCTAAGAGCCCCCAATAAAAGTATTTAATAAACAAAATATAAACGAATATTCATAGTCCAGTTGATCAAATATGGTAATTTATCTCTAAGTCGGTGGCTTACAACTTTATTTTTTCGTGACGCCTGAGGGAAAGGGCATGGAAATCTGTCTGGTGACTCTGGTGTGCAAGTGTCACTGCATCTCTGGGGTACATGCTCCAGTGAGTGATGGAACTCTGCACGGGTTCTATTGCCTTTTTCATTCTCTTCTGTACTTTGCAGATTTTGACCATGAACTTGTATTATCTTGATGATTAGGAAGACCAAAATCACCATAGTTGTTTTATAAAGGAATTCGTAAAGTACTCTGGGTTGGTTTCTCCCCCCCCCCACCCCGCCATTGGGTCTCGTCTAGCTGTGAGTCTTGCTGGGTGGGCCCCAGTAACTTGGTGGGGAGGGGGCGTGATGCTGGGGGTGCAGGTTTGCCTCCTCCAAAAGAACATATCTGTTTCTCTGTCCAGACGACTAAGAAACCTCAGGAGTGTCAGAGTTGCCAAGAGTTTGGACCAGCCCTGCAGCAGGCCAGGAATGTCATGGTAAGTAGGGACTGGGCTGGCCTTACACCACCGCCGTGTCTTGTGAAAGTCCTGCGTGGAGAGTCCTCGGCCATGAGGGTGAAGGGAGGTGTCCCCACCTTTGCAGTGGACAGCCTTCCCTACTGGGCGCTTGGGATGAGGATCAGTGGCTTTCCTCCCAGTGTCCCTGCTCGGTGGCCTTTCAAATCCAGCTGAGCCACCTTTCTCCCAACAGCAGTCATGGGTGCTGGTCTCCAAAGAGGTGATAGCTTTGCTTCACCTGTCGCTGGCGCACTTAGAAGAAGATAGAACCACTGTGAGTCAAGAGGTCAGCAGCATGAAGATGGCGGTGGTGGAGGGTCCTGGTGGGAATGACAGCCACCCCCCTTCCCCCCCGGCCCCCCAAGGCTCCAAACCAGACACCACCACTGATTGTTTCTTAACCTCATAGTTCCTGCGCGCAGAAGCCTTGGTCTCCAGCTGTTTTGATGTGTTGAAGAAATTTAGGGCAAAGGTCCAGAGCTTCCACGCAGAGAGGGAGGAGGCGAGGCACCAGGCGGAGATGGCCCTCAGAGGCAAGGATGCGGTAAGGGCCAGGCTTGCCCCGTCCCGCCGCCCCCCCCTCTTCCTTCGCCAGCATTTTCTTTTTTTCTTGTAGAAAAGTCTAGATAACATAAATATGTTTCATCTTAACCAGTTTCAAGTGTACAGCCCAGCAATATTAAATTCATTCGCTAAGTTGTATAATGTACCATGCTCGAGTTCCAGAATATTTTTGTCATCCCAAACAGAAACTCTATCCATTACTCTCTTCCCCCAGCCAGCACCTGCTAACCACTAACCTATTTCCTGTCCTTCTGAATTCGCCTATTCTAGATACACCTGGAATCACACAGTATGTGTCTTTGGTGCTTAATTTCAAGGTTCATCCTCTGGGAGGGATGTGTCCGTTTCATTGTGGGTTTTTTAGCGGAATAAGCGTCCACTGCATATAAGTACCACGTACATACATTGTGTCTACCTTGTGCGTGTGCTAAGCTGTTGATCCTGTACTTGAGTCCTCGAGGTTCCTCACCTTGTGGGAGGTCCCCTCGAGATCACAAATACAGAATAAAGAACTGCACTCTGAGAATAATCAGCCATTTGAGACCCATGGGCGACGATCAGAGGGTTAGGAAAGGAGGGATGGAAACAGGAAACCCAGGGAAGTAGCATAAGTGACGGTGCCTTGAGCGGGATTACAATGAATGAGATGAAACAATGTGTATGAATTGTGGAATGGAAAACTGATGATTTACTCTAAAAACCTATGTCCAAACTACAAATAAAAGTTTTGTTTTTTTTTTCAAGAAGGAAAAAAACTAACCTATTGGAGTGGTAGATCGATTGTTGTGGCTCTTTGTGCGATTTCTCTGCCTGCCCACTCTGCCCTCTGCACATCTTCCCTGACAGGCAGAGGCTGTGCTCGAAGCCTTCTGTGCACACGCCAGCCAGCGGATCAGCCACCTGGAACAGGACGTGACATCCATGCGGGCACTCAGAGTCCTGCTGGCCGAAGCCCAGACCCACTTGGTAATCTAAAGGCATTCCCTTTCTTGGCGTCCACCCTGACCCACAGGGTAGGTGGGGGGATCCCGTGGCAGTTGTCCTACAGTCCTTCCTTCTGTAGGTCCAGCTCCACACCGAGCAAGAGGAGCTGGCTCAGCAGACGGTCAGTCTGTCGTCCACTTTGCAACAGGACTGGATATCCATGCAACTAGATGTGAGTATTTGGGGCTGTCATCCAAAAAACAAAACAAACAAACAACCAAATACCCCACTGCCATCAAGCCCTTGCCAAGTCCCAGCAACCCCCAGGGCAGAGCAGAACTGCCCCCTAGGCTTTCAGAAGCTGTAAATTGCTATGGGAGCGGCCGGCTGCCTCATCAGTCCCCTGTGAAGTGACAGGTGGGTTCAGACTGCTGACTTCTCAGTTCACAGCCTAGGAAGCAACCCACTGTACTGCCAGGCCACCTCAGGCCGCTCCCTTAGGTATAGCCAGTTCTCTTAGGAGCTCTACCTGTTTCCCCTGACAGTATATAACATGGACAGCTTTGCTGAGTCGGTCCCGACAACTCGCAGAGAACCTCGCTGGCAAGAGCCGGGAGGTCCTACAGGAACGAGATGCTGCAGTGGAGGAAAAGCAAAAGGTACAAACCAGGCATGGAGACTGCTTGGCCCAGGTTCCCCTGCTTCTGTGCAGAAGGCCTTTCTAATGAGTGGCATCATTGGCCTCTTGCCCTCATTGGGTTCCTTATGTAATAGACGGACACAGGCTCGTTTCCTTTTCCCTTTAGCACCTTTTCCACTTCAGCACCTTTTGTCCATTTCCTTTTTCTGAGGCTCAGCCTCATTTGCTGCAGGGTAGCTGCCCAGGAGCAGGTAGTTTGCTGCATTGTTCAGAGAGAAGCTGCACTAAATCCTGGAAGAACTGTGTGAGGAAAACCGTCTTTTCTTCCCAGGTTTCCAGGAAGCTGGAACAAGTCACGACTCACTTAGAGGGCTGCCTGGGCAAAATCGAACAACTGCAGGTGGAAAACAGCCGTCTGACAACAGGTAGGCCATGGGGTGTGGCGGTAGAACAGCGAAGCCCTCTGGAGCGCTTGGTTCCGGGAGAAGTCTGGGAAGGTTCTGGCTTGGCAACCACATGGTGTCATTAGGATTCTTCTGGCCCAGATCTCCAGGCTCAGCTGCAGATTCTGGCCAGCATGGAGAGCCAGCAAAGAGACTTACAAGATCAGCTTGCCCATTGTACCCAGGACCTGGCCGTGAAGGAGGACTTGCTCGGCCAGCTCACCCAGAAGAGTGAGGAGCAGGCCGCTCAGTGAGTTCCCATCAGGCGGTGGTGACTGACAGTCGGGTTGTGGGACCACATGGGATCTAATAGCATGTCTCTGGCAGATGGCAACAGGAAGAAATGGCACTCAAGCAGACACTGACAGAGCTACAACACCAACAAGCTGTCCTGAGCAAGGAGGCCCAGGACATGAAGGAGACCCTGGAGGTGAGGCCTATGGTTTGACGAGGGGGAACTGGGAAACTTACCTAATGGGACTGAGGGGGGAAAAGCCTCTGCCCCGGGGGTCTAAAATTCCCCTCTTGGACCTAATGCATGTTCCTGCCCTTCTCGTTCCCTCTCTTCCCAGTTTGCAGAGCAGGAGAATCAGGTTGCTCACCTAGAGCTGGGCCAGGTCGAATGTCAGTTGAAAACCACGCTGGAAGTGCTCCGGGAGCGCAGCCTACAGTGTGAAGAGCTCAAGGACACTGTAGAGAAGCTGAAGTAAGAGCTCGCCCCTGCTGGGCCTCCCCCAGCGCACATCCATCCCAGAGTCTCCAGAAAGGAATTGTGTCCAAGCTCAGGGCCTCCTGCTTCTCTCTTGGAATGCCATTCTGTACGGGGATTTGGGAGAGGCATTCAGAGTAGGTACCTTGGTGGCTGGCCATCTTCTTCCTTCCTTCCTTATTTCAGGGCTAACCTGGCTAGCACTGTAGCAGAGAACCAGGAGCATGCCCTGGCGAAGACACGCCAGTATTCACATGAGTTAGGGGTGTCGACTGAGCAGCTACAGAGCCTGACCCTCTTCCTACAGCAAAAACTAAACGAGAAGGTAAATTTCTGTGATTCCGTCTCTTCCCATCCAGTTGTAGCTTGTATAGAATGGTCTTCCCAGACATGCTTGTTCCATCTCTAACCGCCAGCGACTTCCAGTTGCCCACAGACCTCTTCAGTCCGTCACTCCAACCTTTCTTCATCTGTCTCTTACTTTCTTAATAGTTTCACTCCAATCAGAGTCCATACCAGTGTTTCCCAACGGGGGTGGTACTGCCTCTGGGTACTCTGGAGTGAGCCAGGAGAGCTGCACAAACAGATACTTACACTTTATCTTGGATTATGGGTTATAGTACAAAAGTTTTTAATTGCCACCGGGGCACTGGGTAGGTAGTCTTTTTTTCTGCAAAAAGGGCTGTAGACCAAGTAAGTTTGGGAAGCTATGGTTTGTGCGCCCCACTTCATCCCAGCCTCAGGCTGTTCCCATTCTATTGTCCTCCATCTGCAAACTGGTAATCCCTCTTTCTTTCCTGTTCAATTCCTCCTCTTTGACCTTCTGGTGTGAGCAGGTAAGCCTTGCCGAGGCTTAGGGTGTGGCAAGGAGGTGCCCTGGACTCTTTTCCCTTCTTTTGCCCTATTGCTCACAAGCTTACTCTCCTTTTCTATGTCTATTGATTTCCCTTAGAATCTTCTTTCTGAAATTGATTTTCATTGCCATCAAGTGGACTGTGTTTCAAGAAAGCAGGAACGTAGCCATGCGGTGTTGACTCCCCCACAGTGTACATTAAAGAATAAATGGCTGAGAGCTCTCAGAATAGAGTTAATTGGCTTCATTCCTGGTGAAAGGTACCACCAGGAAATGTGGAATGCTTATGAGTTGACCTTTCCCGCTAGTTATGTGCGGAGCACAGGTACTGCCAAAGAATCCACAGTCTAGTGGGGGAAGACAGGCAGATGTAAACTTGTCATCTTGAATTGTCATGACCAAGTCAGCATGGGGCCCTCTGGGAATACAGAAAATGGACCAAGTTTACTGCGTTAGAATGCAGTTGACCCTTGGGCAGAGTCTTGAGGTTAAGAAGTTTGCAGGGTAGGGGTGGGCATATAGGGAAATCCACTAGGGGATGGTACATTAAAATCATAGAGATGTTACATGTACTCCTGTCTGCCTTGTAGCAAGACCTAGGTTCCGTGCTGGGTCTACAGGGTGAACAAGGCAGCAATATTGGAGAATGGGAAGTAGAAAAACCCCATTACTGTCAAGTTCATTTGTACTCATAGCAAGCCGTCCATAGACGTTAAAGTACAGGCTTTCGATGCCGTAAGTTTACAGAAGCAGATTGTTACATTCCGCCAGATGTCTCTCATGGACTTGAGCTTTAGGGCCTGGAGCTTGGGGAAGAATCCGGCTGAGAAAGAGTGGTCATTTGTATTTACAAGATGTATGTTGTGTGGAGCACCCGGGCTGAGGCTGCCCCAGGAAGGGAGGAGTGTGCACAGAGGACCGCGGAAGGATGAACCCAGGGAAGGGCAGCAGTGAAGGAAGGCCCTGTAGGTAGAGAGAAGAAATAGCCAGAAAGCTATGGGAGAGACACATCTTTGGGAGAGACAGTTATGCCTTGGCAGTTAAGAAAGGGGAGTTTCAAAAAGAAATCAGTATCAAAGAGGTCAGCTAAAATAAGAGCTGAAAAGTGTCTATTGCTTTTGAAAGTAAAGATAACACTGGTGGCAAGAATTTTGGTGGTGGGGCAGACATCTGATTGTAGTGAGCTAATGGGTAGATAAAGAGTGAGAATTATAGGCATCATCTGGAGACCTGTTTTTTTAATTAAAGGAAAGGAGAAAAGGCAGTAGTTAAAAGAGGACTTAAATTAGGAAGAAGGTGTTTCGGTTGTTTTTTTCAGTGAGAGACACAAGAATCTAACTCTCCATGTTCAGGGAAAAGAACGAATGGAGAGGCTGCAGGCCGAGCGAGAAGAGGGCAATCGCTAGGACAGCCGTGTGGAGAGACGGCTGGGTAGGAGGTAGTGCACGAACCCTGAAGAAGCCCTTTTGTTGTTCTCCTTTGTCTTAGGCTGAACCAGAACCACTTTGGATGAACACAGCTTGTGCACCTACCAAGGAACACTCTCCGCCTGGTAGCCCCGCCTTGCCTGGAAACTTCTTGTCAGCAACCACAGAAGAAGGTTAAAGGCTCTGGGATTTGGGGCGGGAAAAATGTGAGCTGGTGCCTGATAGCTTGGGCTGTTGAAGGTGCCCAGTAACTGGCTTGCCTCCCTCTCCCACCCTTCCGGTCCGGCTGGCCTTGCCTGGCTTGCCGCAGAGACCCCCGCTCCCATGCTGGATTTCTGTTTCAGAGCCGGAATCAGCTCCCATGCCCTTGCTTGGAAGTGACCAGAGTGCTTTCACCCGAGTAGGAGCCATGGTGTCCCTTCAGCCTACAGGTGAGGATGGGCTCCAGGGATCTCGCCTCATTTCTAGAAAGCCTGGTGGCGATGAGTAAAGTCTAGTGCAATGAGAGGTGCTTTGCTCTAAAAACCTCGATTCTACTTGGGCTCATTTTATTCTGCCTTTAGGGATCTGTAATGTTCCTGCTGAGGAGCTCTGGTGGTGTAGTGGTTATGGGTTGGGCTGTGATCCTCATGGTCGGCAGTTCAAAACCACCAGCCTCTCTGAGGGAGAAGGACTGAGCTTTCTACTCCCTTAAACAGTTACAGTCTCAGGACCCCACAGGGGGTCGCTATGTGAGTCAGCATGGACTTGCGGGCAGGGAGAGAATGTTCCTGCCACTCACACACTCAGATTCTATTGGTTGGGGACACAGATAAGAGTTCTGGGAATGGTGGCTGTCTGTGGTATACACCCCTTCCTTCCAGAGCCGGAGGTCTCTACCTCTGTCTGGAACTTTCCCTTTTAGAGACCCTAGACATGGAGAAGAGCTTGGCAGAAATCCGTACCGTGACTCTCGGGCTTCAGAGCTTGTGTTCCCTGCTGCAAGAGTCTAAAGAAGAAGCTGTCAAGACTCTGCAGGGAAAAGTGTGAGTGGGTTGCAGTGGTGGTGAGAGAGGGCAAGTCCGAGGCCCAGGCGGTCCCTGGGAGGACAGCAGTGAGACTGAGTTCTCCCTTCCCTCCCGTAGCTGTCATCTGCAGGACAGGCTGCAGGCCCAGGAAGAACAGCATCAGGAAGCCCAGAAGGCTAAGGAAGCAGACATTGAAAAACTGAACCAGGCCCTGTGCTTGCGCTACAAGGTGAGGGAGGGGCCTGGAAATGGGGCGACGAAGAACTGGGACAGCTCTACTGGCCCGTTGGGAGCCGTTTTCTCTCCAGGAATCTGGGTGGTGGAGATTTTCCAACCAGTGCCCTAGTTCTGCACTTTGGGATCAGACATTTCACATGTTTGGGAATCCACTATGGGCTGACCTGCCTCCCCAGGCTGACCAAGGAGAGAAGGCGGGGACTCCAGAACTCTCCCAAACACTGACATATGCCTTGCCTGACCTGGTAGCCCTCCAGAAAGAGTTGGGGTGTTATCCTTGGTACCTCCTGGACTGAGCGGGGGTCAGGTACTATCTACCGGCAAGGGTGCCAAGAAGGTACAGCTCTCTCTCAGTCCTTCTCACCTGCGTTTCCCTCACAGAATGAAAAGGAGCTTCAAGAAGTGATACAGCAGCAAAACGAGAAGATCCTGGAGCAGATAGACAGGAGTGGAGAGCTCATTGTATGTCCATCCTGGGGCCGGGCCCTGGTAGCTAGGGTCCTGAGCATGAGGCCTGGATTCATGGTCCTCCACAAGGGACTGTTGAGAATTGCCAGCTCTTTCTTCTCACCTGCAGAGTCTGCGGGAGGAGGTGGCTCAGCTTACCCGCTCACTTCGGCGTGCAGAGACAGAGACTAAGGTGCTCCAGGAGACCCTGGCAGGCCAGCAAGACGCCGACGGTCAGTCCATGACCACTCACTGGATCCAGGAGAAAGTGTGGCTCACCCAGGAGGTGACTGGTACCTGGAGGGATCTGGGGACACATGAAGGGGCAAAGTGCTGGGTAGTTAACAGGCGCGGGGCAGCTGGTGGGGACCCTGGGCTGTGCCTCCTGATCTGGACGGGTTTCCAGGTGGACAAGCTGAGGGTGATGTTCCTGGAGATGAAAGATGAGAAAGCAAAACTGAAGATCAAGTTCCAGAGTCATGTAAGTGCCCCCATGTCGGCACTACTCCCCCTTTAGCCCAACCCGTCCAGTTTTCAGGCTCCGCTGAGCTCTGCGGTTCTTTGAACCAAAGGGCTTATTTGCTCTTTAGAGAAACATCCTGGAGGAGAACGTGCGGCGCTCGGACAAAGAGCTACAGAAACTGGATGACACTGTGCAGCATATTTATGAGGTTAGGTGGAGGCGGGGCCAGGGGCTATAAGGAAGGCCCCTGGAGTTGCTGATATGGCTAGCTCTCTCTCTGGCTCCAGGGAGCTGAGGGCTTGGCTGCGGCCTGCCTCCACTGTCCCCTCTGCCCAGCCAGAGCTTTTGTGGGATGGGGGTCTTGAGCTTGTGATCCTGAGCTGCCTTCTCTTTCTCTCTCACTTCCCAGACTCTGCAGTCCATCCCTGAGGTAGTAAGGGGTTGCAAGGAACTACAAGAATTGCTGGAATTTCTGAACTGAGAAGCCAAAAGCCAGAGCCTGTTTTGCTCCCCTTTAATGGCAGCACCCCCTTTCCCCAATAGCAGGACCAATTGGCATAGAGCCACCTATGTTTATAGCTGTTGAAATAAAGTATAAATGTATTTCTTTAAGTCCACTAAATCATTTTTCTTGGGTGGTGTGGAATGAGGTTAGGAGAGAGGGCATCCCTGCTGCCTGCCCCTCCTCTTTGCTTGGCTTTCCCCAAAGCACTGGACTGCTTGTTCCCTGGCTTTCAGCCTGCGGAAACAGAAAAAGGCTTTATTCTCCACCTTCCCTCGCCCTCCTGGGGTCGGCCCTGGCGGGGAGTGGGGCGCAGCAAAAGCTACTCCCTGCTCTGACCCCTGGCCCCTTGTTGGTGCCTCTGACCCGCTTACCCTACCTGTTTACTGCTTCCCGGGACGGGGCTTATCCCCAAGAGCAAACACACCGCCTGGCACTGGGGAAGTGACTGGTAGAAAGGAGGGCGAGCCCGCTTCCTGCCTCTGGGGCCCTGCTGGCAGGGCTCCTCGGGGAGGGAGGGGGCGTCAATCCACAACACAGCCTCTGGGGTCCGGGCAGATGGTCACTCCACCCCTTCGCCCGACCCCGGGGGCGTGGCCCGGACCGAGGGCGCCAGTCCTGGGAGGGGGCGTGGCCGGGGCGGTGTCTGCCCCGCCCCCCGGGGAGTCACGTAGCGCTGCGGCAACCGCAGCTCTATTTACGAGAGCCGGGGCTGGAGCCCGCGCTGCTGCAGACCAGACCTGAGCTGTTCCCCGGGCTGCTGCGGCCGCTGCCAATTTGCTGCGCACAGGTGAGGCCCCGCGAGAGGCAGGCGGGAGCTGCTCAGCCTCCCCGCCTCCTGTTATCCTTGCTCGGCTCCCTGGGGCATCTGGATGTGCCTTCTCCGCTCTCCCCCAGCCTCCCTGCTCCTTCCTGCCGACTGCCAACTCCATAACCCTGCCTCTCCTGGCGCCCTCCACTCCCTCCTGGACCTCAGTTTTCCTAATCCCAAATCCTCTGCCTTCCAGAGTTTTTCTTGAGGTCAGTCTCTTCCAGCCGCGGTCTGTACCCTCCTGGTTCTCCTGCTTCCTCTGTCTGCGCCTCCTGTCTAAAGCTTCCCCCTGACTCCTGCACCCCTCCAGCCCTTTCTCTGCCCTCTCAGCCTCCTGGCACACAGCCCTCTGAGTGTCTGAGGTCTAGAGAAAGAAATGCACCCCACTACCCATCCCTCCCTGCACACAGGGCACTGGGGATAGCGTAGTCTCTCCAAACTAACCCAGCAGCCCTCTTCCCCTCTGCTCTAGTGCAGCCTTCTGGGGCCACCCTCTGGTACTGGGGTGGTGAGAGGCATCAGGTAGAGGCACTTTGGAGTCTGGAACAGAAGAGGTGTTGGAAGCCTGTGCCACTCCTACCCCCACTTGCTTGCCCCCTCCTCCCAACCTGGGCCTCCAGATGCTGAGGGGAAGGGGCAGAGTGATGTGGGTGTTTGCCCCCTCCTGCAGCCTGGGCTGTAAGGGTAGTTCCCTGGGGGTGCTGCCGAGAATGGGAGAAGAGGAGCTAGAAAGGCCAATGGGTATGCCAACCTGCTGGAGTGTGGGTCGGTCCCCTCCACTGGGTAGTAGTTTCACCAGATCCATGGCTCTAGGATTGCACACCTCCCCACCCCCACCCTGCGTCTTTTCCCCAGGGGCTGGGAAGGGTGCCCACCAGCACAAAAGGCCATGTGGGAACTGGGGCTCTTGAGCCACTAGCTGTCCAATGGGTTTGTGCCACTTTGAAGCCCCGGGACCATGCCAAGGACTGCTCTGTGCCCAGTCCCATGCTGTGGGGACAGGCCAATTGGCCCATCTGGCCAGGAGAAGCAGCAGAGGAGGTAGTGGCTCTTGTCTCCATTCCAGAGAGCCATCTTGATTCCAGAGAGCCGCCGCCATGTCCCACTCGTACCCAGCACTCTCTCCCGAGCAGAAGAAGGAGTTGTCAGACATTGCCCTGCAGATTGTGGCACCAGGCAAAGGCATTCTCGCTGCAGATGAGTCAGTGGGTAGGTGGAGGCCTGGGGCTGGGTGGGGTGGGGGTGTGCAGGAAACGCTGGGGATGGCCTTGCTGCCACTGCTTCTTCACCTCCAGGGAGCATGGCTAAGCGGCTGAGCCAAATTGGGGTGGAGAACACCGAGGAGAACCGCCGGCAGTACCGCCAGGTGCTGTTCAGTGCCGACAACCGAGTGAAGAAGTGCATTGGAGGCGTCATCTTCTTCCATGAGACGCTCTACCAGAAAGATGACAATGGCGTCCCCTTTGTCCGTACGATCCAGGACAAGGGCATCGTCGTGGGCATCAAGGTGCAGCCACTGGCCCAGGGAGCTGGGGGGTGGGGGGCGCGAGGTTTGGAAAGAGGTGTGTGGTAGAGGGATGCAAGGTAGATCCTGCCTGAGTTCCTGTGTGCCCCCTAAAGGTTGACAAGGGTGTGGTGCCTCTAGCCGGGACTGATGGAGAAACCACCACTCAGGGTAAGAGCGGATAGGCTTTGGGTGCTGGGAGGTGGGAGAAGGAGGGGCAGGATGGTGAGGCTGGCCCTGTGCCTGCAGGGCTGGATGGACTCTCAGAACGCTGTGCCCAATACAAGAAGGATGGTGCCAACTTTGCCAAATGGCGCTGTGTGCTGAAAATCAGCGAGCGCACCCCCTCATCACTTGCCATTCTGGAGAATGCGAACGTGCTGGCCCGCTATGCCAGCATCTGCCAGCAGGTACGTGTGTATGGATGGGTGTGGAGGAGGGTCAGGTGGGTGTCCTGCACCTGAGGGGGGCAGGGTTTCGGGGCTTTCTCCATCCTACCTACTTCCTCTCCCACTTGCTCTCACCTGCAGAATGGAATTGTGCCGATTGTGGAACCTGAAATCCTGCCTGATGGAGACCACGACCTCAAGCGTTGCCAGTATGTCACAGAGAAGGTGAGCCTGCCGCTGGGCCCAGCCACCCAGGGGACAGCTTGGCAGGAGAGCTTGTTCCCCACAGCCCCTGGCTCAGGCACAGGGAGGCTTTCCTGATCCCAGAACGAACGGGCCGGTGGGTCTGAGCCTGTACTGAACCTTCCCCATCTGTCCTCCTCCAGCCCCGACCAGGGAGCAAGGAGCAGTAAGTAGACTTGACTCAAGGAATCCAGAGCCTTAGAAACCTCCTCTGATCCCCAGGTCCTGGCTGCGGTGTACAAAGCCCTGAGCGACCATCATGTTTACCTGGAAGGAACCCTGTTGAAGCCCAACATGGTGACCCCTGGCCATGCCTGTCCCATCAAGTATAGCCCAGAGGAGATTGCCATGGCAACGGTCACTGCCCTGCGTCGTACTGTGCCCCCCGCCGTCCCAGGTACTGGCTGGCTTCTAACCTGCTCCTCTCCTTATAGCCCATCTTCAAGGTCATGATCTCCCAGGGTCTCCTGCCCTGAGAAAACCTGGACTGGCCAATCAAATTGTCTTCTGCCCTTCACCCTAGGTGTGACCTTCCTGTCCGGGGGTCAGAGTGAAGAGGAGGCATCGCTCAACCTGAATGCCGTCAATCGCTGCCCGCTTCCCCGGCCCTGGGCTCTCACCTTCTCCTTTGGGCGTGCCCTGCAGGCCTCTGCACTCAATACTTGGCGAGGGCAGCAAGACAATGCTAGAGCCGCCACTGAGGAATTCATCAAGCGGGCTGAGGTTAGGAGCTGCAGGCGGGGAGAGGGGTGTAGTGTGTGGCTGGGCAGGGCGCAGTCCCAGAAACTGGAGTTTGGGAAGGCGCCGAGTCCAGCTACTCGCCCTTACATACTTATTTCTCCCTGCTGCCGTCTCCGTCTCACAGGTGAATGGCCTCGCAGCCCAGGGCAAGTACGAAGGCAGTGGCGAAGACGGTGGAGCGGCAGCACAGTCCCTCTACATTGCCAATCATGCCTACTGAGCACCCAGCCCAGCCCACCCCACCCCGCGCCACAGCCCTTGACCTGGTCTCCTGCACCCAATCTTGCCTGTAGTTATGACCCAGGCCAAACAGCCATGAAGAACCAAGGTCTCCTTCTCTTCCCTTCCCCCTCCCATTGCTGCTTCTGGGACCATAGGATGGGAGATTCCGGAGCCTCTGAGGCTGAGGGCAGGAGGACGGGCTAGAAGTCAGAGCAGAAATGCCTGGGTCTTCGTGTGCTCCTGTAAACCCCCCTGCAACTTCCCCTCAATGATGTAGCTTCTCCTTGGACTCGCCTTCTCATCTGTCTTCTCTTCTGGGACCAGAGGGCTGGACACAGCCCTGATTTATGCCCCGAGTGCATATCACATAGCAAAATAAATGGTAGCAAACATCCTAGCTACTCTGTCTGTTTTCCACACCTAATTGCCACCCTCTGGTTTCTGACCTTTGCTGAACCTCCCCTGGGGCTCTCTGAATGGGCGTAGAGAGGGTGAGTTTCAAGTTTGGGCATCACCAGCTAGGCTCTTGCCTGTTTACACCCAGGCCCGCAGAGGAGCAGTGTGAAGGGCACATCAAGGCCGCCAGGCTAGAAAGGAGTGAGGCCAAACGGATGCAAGCCTCCAGACTAGGAGGGCAGGTTGGGAGAAGAGAGGCACAGGTGGGAGCTTCACAGCCCGGCTGTGGCGAGCGCTGCTTGGGGGCCTGACATGTTCAGAGGGGGAGCCACAGCCGGAGCGCCTGGGCTTTTGCCCAAGAGAACACCCAAGGCTCTGGGGTTGCTGGGTCTAGGGCAAGGGACCTAGGAGATAGCCAGGTGCTATAGCCCACTCCCATTTGGGGAAGAAAGAACAAGGGTGGGGCCGCATGATCAGGTCAGTTGGCTAGAGTTTAAGGTAGCTGAACACCTTAGTTTACATCAGCAGATTAGCGAGACAAAGCGATAAAAGAACATACTGGGTGGGTGCCCTGTGAACCGAGGCAACCAGGCTGCACCCAGTTAATCTCTATAATGTGGGTGTGTAGGCCTGAACTTCCACTCAAAATCAACTGCCTTTGAGGAGCGTCTGACTCAGAGGGCAGGGTAGAACTGCCCCTTTGGGTTTCTAAGACTTTAAATCTTCGCGCGAGTACAGTTTCATCATTTTTCGTGATAGGCAGTTGATCTTGATGGTTAGCTGCTCAATGAGTCACCCCTCCATCAGGGCACCAGAACTCCGGAGGACCTTGTAATAAGCTAACACACACTGAGTGCTTTTGGTAGGATCCCTCCAGGCCATGTTGGATTCACTCTATCTGCTAACTCATTTAACTTAACAATCCTGTCAAGTAAGGGTTATTACTTATATTTTAACATGAGAAAACTCACACAGGTTAATTAACTTGCTCAAAAATCACTTGGGGAGTTTGTGAGGATTGGAACCTCCTAGTGAGTGATCAAGATCTCAAGTTTGTTCTTACCCATATTCAAGATTAAGAAATCTTTTTTAGTTTTAGCTTCTTATTATGAACTAGGTGAAGTGCTATAGAGCACACAGCTTTCCATTCAACAATGCATACACAGTTTCTTTGATACCATCCACCGCAATCACCACAATCTAACACCACATCCCACTTTCTCCCTCTGCTTCCGGTTTACATTCCTCCGAACCTTCCAGTGCCTTCGTGCCTTCTGAACTGAGCTCTTGGGAATGAATTTTGGAGATTCTTAAGTATTTAGATGTTGGCACTTTGGATATAAATTCAAAGTGAATTCAAACACTGCACTGAGTGCACCAATTGTGCGAAAAGTTACTGACTTGCCACCTTCGTGTTCGCAGCTGAGCACAGGGTGCGCCAAACTGGCAGCTCTATGCCAGGGTGACAATGTTGGGAGTGATTGATGACTTAGTGCTTTGAGCCGCTGTACATTGATGCTTTCCTTATTATACTGATGAGAAAGAAAACAGGCTCGCAGCTGTGAAGCAGTTTGCTCACGGTCGCCTAGCTAGTATTTGACTGCTGCAGAATTGCTACAAGAACGCGGGAGTTGAATATGGCGGCCCCGGTCCCCGGCGCGCTTCCTTCGCCTCCGGGTTCCCAGCGGGGTTCCGCGCGGGCCCCGCCCACTGCCGCCGGCTTGTTCGCGCGCCCGCCAGTCGGCAGTGTTGCGCGCGTCGGCGGTCGTGGCCCCGCCCCCTTCGTCTCGGGCTTTCGATTGGTGGAGGCTCGCAGCCCCGCCCCCTGGCGGCTGGAACGGCCGGACGCCAGCATGGCGGCCGCGGGGGCCGCAGCTACGGACTTAGGTACGGTGGTCCTCCATGGGGGCAGGGAAGGGAGGCTTATGCTCTCGTGGGTCCCGGGGAGGAGCGCGTGACTGGGGAGGGCGGTCGCGCAGACGTGGACGCAGGGGGTCACCCCGGACGGGGGTTCCTTCAGACTTGAGGCGCGTTGGTGCGGATCCCTACGAACGGGGCCGAGGGCCTCTGAGCACCTGCTGTCCGCGGCCGGGCCGGCCTCCGAGCTCCATCCTGACGCCTCGGTCGGTTCCCCAGAGGTGATGCGGGGGAAACGCGCTGCCCTCTACTTCGCGGCCGTGGCCATCGTGCTGGGGCTGCCGCTCTGGTGGAAAACCACGGAGACGTACCGGGCCCCGCTGCCCTACGCGCAGATCAGTGGGCTGAATGCCCTGCAGGTGAGGCTCCGGAGAGGACGCCCCGGGACTGCCCACCGGCTGGGTGGGGGCTCGGCTGATGGCCCTGGCCTCCCCTCCCCAGCTCCGGCTCATGGTGCCCGTGACTGTCGTGTTTACCCGGGAGTCGGTGCCCCTGGATGACCAGGAGAAGCTGCCCTTCACTGTGGTTCACGAGCGAGAGATCCCACTGAAGTGTGAGTCTCGGGGCCGGGCTGCCCTTCTGGGTCTGAGCTCAGACCAGAAAGGGGTCGGGTAAGAAGGAACCTGGGTGTCCCGTCAGGCAAGTGACAGCCTTCTTGTGGAAAACTTTCTCAAGGAAGAGTGTTCGGCGGGGGTTTAAATGGAGAGAAAATGTTTTGAGAAACGATGTACAAATACGCTTTACACAATTGATGTGTGTATGGATTGGGATAACAGTTGTATGAGCCCCTAATAAAATGTTAAAAAAAAAGAAAAAGAAAAAAAAAAGATTAGAAAAAAACAAAACAAACAAACAAAAAAAGAGTGTTCGGTTAGAAGACAACTAGACTCACTGCCTGACATTACTGCCGTCGATGCTCATCAGGGCATAGGGAGGAAGTGGGATGTGATCGGAAAAACGCAGAGTGTGGAATTAAATTGGGTTTGAATACATGCTGTCTTCCGTTTAATATTAAAGACTTTACTGAATATTAGGTGATTTTCTTTGCAAGGATTTGGAGGTGAGTAAAACTGATAATGGTTTCAAGAAGTTCACGGTGGAATAGGAGAGAAAGACATTCAAGAAATTACAGAAGGATACAAAAACCAGGGATAGCATTTAAGAAAGAATGCCCCCCCTGCCCCCACCCCCAGAAAGAAAGAATGTTTGGGAGGAAAGAAAAAGAAGGTTTTGAGGGAAGTAATTTTGAAGTCAGTTAATTAAAGCAAGGGTGTCACTATGCTCTGAAATAAAATGAAGATAGAAAAAATGTTACGAAGAAAATAGCACTTAGGGGAGATCAAGGCAATACCGTCCACACAATTCCCTCGTTAACCCTTTAACTACTGAAGACGAGTATGCACGTGGCCCAGTGCCTTTCCTGGGGGCCTGTGGACGTGGATAAATGCGCTGACTCCGTTCTGGCGACATTTGGAAGCCACATGTCTGCCACTCTCAGTGTCATGTAATGTAAACAGACCCCAATAGTGAAAAAGTTAAAAAGAACACTCTGGGTTGTGCTGTTATGATTCATACCTAGGGGCAGTGCTAGTTAACGTTTTTAGAGGGAAGCCATAACGATTGTGCATCACGTTTGTCAGCTGTCCAACGTTTTGTGTTTTTTATTAGTTACTTTGTTATATTTTCCAATCACAACATAAAAGGTAAGTAAAACTAGTAGGAGGAAAGTGCTGGCAAGTTTCAGGTAAAAAAGAATAATTTTAGTTTTATAAATACATTAAATAAAGTAAATGTTTAACAAAATTTGTAAATGTGATGTGACCCGCATTTTAATTGAGTTGGACACCCCTAAGTTAAAGGATGGGTAGGCTCGAGGGTCCTGGTGGCACAGAGGTTGAAGCACACATGGTGAACTGAGAGCTGGGTTCAGAGCTACCAGCCACTCAGCAGGAGAAGGATGTGAGTCGGCTTCCATGAGGACAGCAGTCTTGGACACCCTCTGGGGAGTTCTCTGTCCTGTAGGGCTGCTGTGGGTTGGAACTGACTGCATAGCATTGGGTTTGATTTTGTTCCACTGCTGCTGATGCAAAGGTCACTTGGTGAATGAGAGAGGAGCTAGCAGGCTTCCTCGTCTGTGCTTTATTGTTGCTTTTCCACTGGTGTCACTGGACCAGCGTTGAGTATTTTGTTTTGTGCAAATGGAGTGTGCACTTTTGTTTTAATCAGGGAAGGTCCTTGGATTTGCTAAGTATTGGGGGGCACAGGTGAGGCAGTACTGGTGGCCGTTCTCGAAATGATGGTAGTAGTAGATTTCCCAGTTGGAGGACACACGAGTGTGGGGGCAGAGAAGCGGGAACTGGGGCAGGTGGAAGAAGTGGGGTGGAGTGTATTTGATATCAAAGAAGCGGAAGCCCTTCGAGTGGGCTGAAGCTCATCAACTTGCTGTTCTCAGACACTGGGCAGTGTAGGGCTGGGGGCTGAAGGGGTGGGGGCAGGGGACAGAGTTCTGAGTCCTCCCTTTCCATCATGCTTCTTCCTTCCCGCCCCAGACAAAATGAAGATTAAATGCCGTTTTCAAAAGGCGTACCGCCGGGCTCTGGACCACGAGGAGGAGGCCCTGTCGCTGAGCAGCGTGCAAGGTATGGGGAAGGGGAGCTCATGAGGGGACGGTTTTCCTATTGTGACTTCCAAAGTCCCTCTGGGAAAATAGAACAAGGCCCCTTATGGTTCGGGTTGAGACACTGAGGGCCAGAAGTTGAGCGGTTGGGTACGTCTTGCCAAAATGTCTGATGGGTGTGAGTGGGAGGTAGCAGGGTAGCTTAGAAACTGTAGCAGGCCGGGGGAGATGGGATGGTATTTTTCTCCTGCTATGTCACCTGCTCTTGTCCCTAGAGGCAGAAGCCATGTTAGCTGAGCCACAGCAGCAACTGGAGGGGTCCCTGACTGTGTACATCATCTCTGAACACTCCTCTCTCCTCCCGAAGGTAGGGTCAGCAGCGAGGGGTGGCCTTGCATGATCCGTCAGCCAGTCCCCTCCTGGGTCAGACTCCTGACCACATTGTGGCTCAGCTCTTCCATTCACTGCAGACACGCACTGTATGCACATGGAGATTCTTTCTCAGACCCTGGGCCTTTCTAAACCCAAGACCCAAGTCAGGTATGTGGTGAAGGTGCCCGTCACAACGACATACAAGTTGGGAAGGAAAAAAATCATTGGAATTAAAAAAAAGACAGCTGGCTTGAGTTGTGTTTCGAATACAGGCAACGCAATGACCTCCTCACCTTTTGAACAGAAAGCTGGGTAGGAGCAGCTATTCCACGTGCCATTTTCTTTTGAAATGCACAATAAGGAAATGGGTACTTCCTCCAAAGGATGTGATCCTTTGAGAGGACATCTGTGCCCCCCACCCCACTGCAGCCTGCAGGATAGCAATAGAGTTGGAGCCCCTTGCCACCCCTGTCAGCCCGAGGTGACCGCCTGTATGGCATGTATCGCTCTCTCGGTTTTCTCTAGCCTTTTATCACGTGTGCTGCATCTCTAAACAGCCTGCCTAACTTTACCTGCTTTTGAGCTTTATATCGACGGCGGTGCTTCTGTACCTTTGACTTCGTGTTTTGTTTTTAACTTTGATTGGATTTAGCGCTGTGTATTAATCTAGGTACTTTAGAGAAACAAATCCACAGCAACTCATGTATAAGAGAGTTTTTATGTAAAGAAAATGTGCATCACGAAAACATCCCAACCCAATGCTGCCCAAGCCCACAAGTCCAACATTAACCCATTAACCCAACACCAGTCCACAAAGTCCTCCACCTCACAAAACAGAGACAATGACGCCAGGTGCAGGAGGAAAGCTGAGTCAGTGAACAAATAAGCATCTCAGCACTAGCAGGGGTCTCCACACGGCTGCTCCAGCACCCAGGGCTGCATCGGGATAGGGCCATGTGGCTTCTCCTTGGGGATGTCTTGTAGGAAGTCAATCTTGCCAGCTGAAGCAGGGAACTGCTAAGGCAGCTGCACCCTGGTGTGACCATCACAAAGCAAGAGACCCGAGAACTAGAAAGGTGAGGCTCACCACCCATTTATCCCTCCGCCTTTCATTTAGCTCCACATGTGATTATCGGCCAGGCTGGCACAATTAACTAACTCACGCTGTATCTGAGCGCGTCGGCCATGATACTCGGTGCAGCAGAAGCGGGTGCTTCCATTTGTGCTTTTCTCTAATGTCTCCTTGTAAAAACCAGTCCCACGCATCCATTTTGTTGCTGATGGCAGTTGGGTCCCTTCCAGGTTTGTTACTACTAGCAGTGCTGTGAACAGTCTTGCCTCTTTGCCATGTGTCGTTTTGCAATGTTGAGCTTTTCTCAGTATGCTGCGTTGACGTTTCTTGCCTTTTCTCTATTTCACCAGTCCCCTGAAGGGCTGGCGGGTTTGGATGCTCTCTAGTTCTCTGTCAACTGGGGAAAGAAAAGAACTTTTCCTGAAACTAATGAAAACACTCACATGTACCCATAGCTCAGAACTGCTGACTTACTGGCCCACTGTTAAAGAGGAGCCCTGATCACGTACCTCGGGCTGCGAACCGTGAGGTTGGCAGTTCTAAATCACCGGCTGCTCCTCGGGGGAAAGATGAGGCTTTCTACTCCCTTAAAGAGTTGCAGCCTCGGAAACCCACAGGAGCAGTTTGACCCTGTCCTGTAGGGTCACTGCGAGTCAGAATCGAGTTGATGGCAATGAATCTGGTTTGGGGTTATGAATGCAGAGACAGAGGTGCAGGCCTGTTGGTCAATGGCAGGAGGTCCCATTCTTACAGACAGGAGCCAGAATATTTTGCTGTCTTCCGTAAGCCATGGCATCCTGCCCTTTGCTTGCTTCTCTTAGGACATGATGAGCTACATTGGGCCCACAAGGACAGCCGTCATACGGGGGCTGATGCACCGGGAGGCCTTTAACATCATCGGCCGCCGCATCATCCAGGTAGCCCAGGCCATGTCTCTGACTGAGGACGTGCTTGCTGCTGCCCTGGCCGACCACCTTCCCGAAGACAAGTGGAGCTCTGACAAGAGACGGCCTCTCAAGTCCAGCTTGGGTAGGGGGGTCGTCGGGCTTTGCCACGGGAAGGAAGAGGGGGAATGAATGAGTTCTGTGGGGGCCCTGAGATAGAAGGGGACTCGGTTTGCACAGGCCTCATTTATTCTCGGGCTTCAACGTTTTCTTAAAGCACCAGCTTTATCCTCCTCTTGGCTCCCTGATGGCCCCAGGCCCCGGGCCCGAGAGAAGCAAGTTCACTGCCGCCGGGCGGGCCAGCTGCCTCCTCCTTGAGTCCTCCGGAGCCTCTGACCTCCTGGACTCCTGTTCTCTAGGCTATGAGATCACCTTCAGTTTGCTCAACCCAGACCCCAAGTCCCATGACGTCACCTGGGACATCGAGGGGGCCGTCCAGCGCTACGTGCAGCCTTTCCTGAAGGCCCTCAGTGTGGCCGGCAACTTCTCTGTGGATTCTCAGGTGAGATTGGGAGCAAGTGGCCTTTTCCTCCTGGCGACATTGGTTTTTTTTTGGCGACATCGTTTTTCGTTTTCTAGAGTCCATCCACATGTAAGGTCCATGAGGGAAGGTAGTGGTGTCTGTCGCGTCCTGGTGTGTGTGTCTGTGTTTCTTGAGGTCAGGTTTGAGTGTCTTCCCCGCCCCTCCTCGCTGCCCCACTGTTGGGGGGCTCCTCCAGGGCTTGTGAACTAACCAGCTTGGTTAGGGCTCTCTCTCGAGGGCTGTTTGTACCCACTGTGCCTGGATGCTACGCTAGCAAGCAACCTTCAGGAATGCCATTCAAAGAAAACTGCTTCCTGAAATATGTTCGTGACGTTGCGATCAAGACACCGTGAAAAATGTAGCTGCCTCATCACACAAGCTCCCTTTCCGTGACACGGTGGGAGACGTACGTGTTGGCCAGGCATCGGGGGTGGGAAGAATGGCTTCAGAAAACAGACTGGCTTGACAGTCTCTCCTGGGCCCTGGGTGATGCGCCTGCCTCGTGGTTTATGCTGCGAGGAAGCGGGTAACCGTCGTGGTTTGCAGAGCGTGTCTCTAATGTGCGCCATCTTGGCCCTGGGCCTCTTTGTTGCTGGGTTGGTTGGTTGTTTTTCCCCTGCAGTTATTTTCCTTCAGTCCTGGTCTTGCTGCTTGTATTTCGCCTCGGACTCCTTTATCTCTGTAAGCCACCTCACATCTTTGACTTGTGTGGACAATGGGGAATAACTCCATAAACCACAGACACCCCCTCCCACCCCCCATTGCTTCACAGATCCTGTACTACGCAGCCCTGGGCGTCAACCCTCGCTTTGACCCAGCCTCCTCCAGCTACCACCTGGCTGCTCACAGCCTCCCCCACGTCATCAATCCTGTGGAGGCCCGCCTGGGTGAGCTCCGGGCCGGTGCCCAGCCAGGGAGGGACTCCTGAGGGCTCCTCCAGCGATGTTTCCAGGTTGGGTTGCCTGACCGAGGAGGTGGGAGAAGGGCTGAGGAGTCAGGTCTCTGTGTTAGAGATGAACTTGGGGGACACTGAAGACTCTCTTTTTTTTTTAAAGCCACTCAAACCACTACTTAGGTTTTCAGAATAAGGAATCTAGAGGAGTTTGTTTGTTTGTTTGTTTGTTTTTAAAGAAACCAGCTGTATTTTCACAGCCCATCTCAAGAAATGAAATCAACAACAATATTCCTATTAAGCCAAAGGTCCTTGTTATTATGCTTTATAATGCTCTCTTGATAACTCTCCCTCATATCCAAAAGCATGTAGGGAAGATGAATCCGGCTCTTCTTACAAGTGAGTGGGCTGGGCCTCTGTCCCTGAAGGGAGGGTGTCACAGGCAGGGAGGAGAGAGGACAGGAAGGGTGTGGGGAGGCGGAGTTTGAATTAGCAGTGTTGCTGAATGAGGCTGGGGTGTCTTGAAGCCGGGACTCCGGTGCTTCCTTGGGGGGTAGAACCTGAGGAAGGGTTGGTGTGACCAAGAATTGTCATCAGGCAAGCAGAAGGGGCATAGCCTGGGTTGTAGAATTTCTGGCACCAGAAGTAGGCCAGTGTGGACCAGAGGGCCTGGAAGGAGCAGCCTAGAGACCTTGGTAAAATCATTCTTTGAAGAAGAGTATTTCCTGAAACGAGAACTGTGAGCTTAGTTACAGAAGAGTCAGTGAGTCTGAAGCTAGGGATGATGAGGCAAGTACGGAGTGCGGCAGTGGCCAAGAGAACACAAAACAGACCCACTGCCATCAAGTCGATTCCGACTCAGCGCCTCATGGGGCCTCTGAGGCGTCAATCTGCACAGGAGCAGACTGCCTCGACATACTCCTGTGGAGTGCCTGGGGGGGTTTGAACTGCCAACCTTGCAGGTTAACAGCCCAACGCTTACCCCACTGGCCCTCCTAAAAGAGCCAAGGAGGTCTTTTCACAGGGGGCGATTCCCAGGTGGCAGGCACCTCCTGGGAGACTGCTGAGAGGTCCTGCACCACCGAATCCTAGGATTAGAGGTTACCAGTTGGGGGGACTGAGGCCCAGAGTTCGCGGCTGTCCTGGCACTGAGCTCTAGGTCTGGCGCGCTGTGGTGGTCTACCCTCCCTTCTCTCTGCCACAGGATCCAGCGCGACTTCCTTGTACCCTGTACTCAACTTCCTGCTCTACGTGCCTGAGCTCGCCCACTCCCCACTGTACATCCAGGACAAGGACGGGGCTCCCGCAGCTACCAACGCCTTCCACAGCCCCCGCTGGGGGGGCATTATGGTGAGACACCCACTGCAGACCCCAGAGCCCAGGACTCAGGGACCGATGGATGTTCCCTCGGCAGTCCTCTGAGGCCTGGCCTGCACGAGGGGCCCGCACCGAGGAGGCGGGCATGCTGCGCTGTGTGTCCCGCTCGCTGCTTGCCTCTTTCCGGCCAGCCCTTCTCATGGTGCACACGATCAACCAGGCCCTCTCGTGCTTCAGTTTGCACTGACAGGACTGTTCTGTGTTTATCTTAGTTCTTGGCTCTATTGGTGGGAATCTTGCAAGGTTCAGAACCTTGCCTTCCTGCTAGGGTGGGAGTTTTTCATAGCTGAGCACTCTAAAGTAAGATTAAAAAAAAAACACCAAAGTATTTTCCAGGCCTTTTGAGGGAATCATTGAGGTGAGTTATGTAAATTCCCAATGGTTGTCGTGTGCCGCTGAGCTGATTCCAACTCAGAGCAACCTTGTGGGACAGAGCAGCACTGCCCCGCCCCATAGGTCTCCCATGCTGTCAGTCTTCACTACAGCCTATTGCCCGGTCCTTTCTCCCGTGGACTCACTGCTGGGTTCGAACTGCTGACCGACTGTTCCTCAAAAAGCACAAGGTGGACCCCAGGATTTGTAGCTTCGGCTCGCCTTTCTCCCAGGGGCTCTCAGTGCCTAGGGAAGCGCTGTGTGCACAGTCCTGACGTGCTATTGTGACAGCCTCCTTCTCCATTCCAGGTGTACAATGTGGATCCCAAAGCCTACAATGCCTCGGGGCTGCCAGTAAGAGTCGAGGTGGACATGGTGCGAGTGATGGAGGTGTTCCTGGCCCAGTTGCGGTGAGGCTGGCCTGGGGTGGGGAGTGGGCATGGCCTTTGAGAGTCTGAGCACACGCGCCTTGGCTCTCGAGGGGATTGCAATCAGAGGACATCTTACCTTCTACAGCCAACTGCCCTGTGCTCAGAGCCACCAGGAAGCCGAGACAGCTTTCTAAGAATCGCTTTGCCCTTTTTCTAAGCAGGACTGCTTGCTCACAATGAAGTCAAGTCCACAAGGCATGTTAACTGTGCCTAAGGAAATGGCGGTTACTTCTGTGCTAACTGGTTAATTGAGAATAGCTGTAAAAGGCTCTGGGAGAAAGACGGGCTTCTGCTCCCATGAAAAGAAAACCCACAGGGGCAGTTCTACGCTGTCCTATCGGGTCACTCTGAGTCGGCAGTGAGTTTGGTTTGGTATGAAGCCATATGTGGAGGAGTCTAAGGCTGTTCCTCTGTGCTCATCAGAAAAAGGGTATGTTTCAAGAAAAAAAGAAAAAGGGTATGTTTCTGATTGATTAACAATGTCTGGCGTGGGTATCGGTTTAGAGAAGCCCAGGACCTGTGTCTTTGATAACATATATGCCCCAGTGGCCCCTTTAGAAGGTAGGAAAGGATGAGAGAATTAAACTAAGTTGGTCTCTTAGCTATGTGGTGCTGTTATAACACAGGTACACAGCTTTAACAAACACACTGATTCCCTCACAGTTTAGGAGACTAGAAGTCAGGGCGCCAGCTCTAGGGGAAAGCCGATAGTCTTTGTCAGCTCTGGGACCAGGCCCTTATCTCCTGCCCCCATCTGTGGGCCCAGCAGTCCACGGAGATCCCTATGTGTTTTGGCATCAATCTGCTTCTGGGTCTAGTAGGTGCAGGCACCCTGGGTCCAAAGGACTCGCTCTACCCCTGCTTGTACTTTCTCGGGTACTGAAGCCCCTCCCTCTCTGCTTGCTGCTTCTCTAACATTTTACCGCTTGTAAGATAAAAGTTGATGCAGACCAGGGAAAGCTCCCCACACATTGGCTCAGGGTTGTAACCAGAGTGCTGCTCTCCACTTGGGCCCTGCCTCCTGAACACACAGAGGTCAGGATTTATCGCACATCAGAAGATGGAGGATGATTACATAGGATCATGATGTGGAGGAGAAACCACACAATGTTGGGAAGCATATTAACGGATGCTTTTGGGGAACCCAGTCCAGTTTATGACAGCTGATGTTAGCAAACGTTTTATTAGCCATGGGACCTTTCTTCCAATAAGATCTTAGATGGATAAGACAGAATAGGTGAGCACAGACATTCTGGGTTGGGGGAGTGAGGTGTGAGGCTCTGGATAGCTTGGGGTTCCTGCTCACTCTTCTGAACCCTAACACACCTGCCCGTCTCCCCACCCGCCATGGCTCCAGGGACAAAAGATGGAACTCGGTGACAGATATTTCAGGAACCTTAGCCATCTTCCGCCTCTGGTCTCAGTCATCTTGCTCTTCTGGGTCCTTTCCCCTAGGCTGCTCTTCGGGATTGGTCAGCCTCATGTGCCCCCAAAGTGCCTGCTGTCTGGGCCGAAGAGTGTAGGGCTCATGAGTTGGGAGCTGGACCGGCTGCTCTGGGCCCGGTCAGTGGAAAACCTGGCCACGGCCACCACCACCCTCACGTCCCTGGCCCAGCTTCTGGACAAGATCAGCAACATTGTCATCAAGGACGATGTGGCGTCTGAGGTATGTGAGCAGGGCCTGAATCCGTGGGCTCTAACGGGCGAGGTCAGTGACGGTCAGGGTGTGAGCGTGGGCGTGCTGCCCTCGAGTGCCCCAGCTTCCCTCTAGAGGGCAGTCCAAAGGAGAGTGCGATGTGTCCAGGTGACACTGAGAAGATACTTCCAGAGCCTTTTGTCTTGATCCCGGTTTTCCTGGTGAACTCCAGGCCAACTTCTTGGGGGCTGAAGGCATATTAAGGCCCAGCCTCCTTCCCACCAAGCCCAGGCCTTCTCTTAACCGTCTCTCCCTTCCCAGGTGTACAGGGCAGTAGCTGCAGTTCAAAAGGCAGCCGAAGAGCTGGCCACTGGACACCTAGCCTCTGCCTTCCTCGCCAGCCAGGAAGCTGTGACGTCCTCGGAGCGCGCCTTTTTTGACCCCTCGCTCCTCCACCTCCTCTATTTCCCTGATGACCAGAAGTTTGCCATCTACATCCCACTCTTCCTGCCCATGGCCGTGCCCATCCTCCTGTCCCTGGTCAGGATCTTCCTGGAGACCCGCAAGTCCTGGACGAAGTCTGAGAAGACGGACTAAGTAGGGCACAGCCTCTCCGGGAGGCCCCCTCCTTGTGGGCTGGGCCGGGTGGGAGGGGTTAGACTGCCAGGCACATGACGATTGGGTGTGGGGAGGGACTGCCAGAATGACTCTCTCCAGCCACCTCTGTCACTGCTCAGGAACCAAAGGGCCACCCTCCAAGCTGCATCCATGTTCCTTTCCCCTCAGGTCAGGTCATCCTGCCTCCCCCTCTCACCTTCTGTTGAGCCTAAGTGGCTGGCATCATCTGGGGCTCCGGATCTGGCTTGAACTTGAAAGGCTCCAGACATGGGCAGGGGCAGCTTGTACTTCTACCCTGTTCTCAAGGTAGTGCACTCTTACAGGGAAAGCCCTGGGGGATCTTGCCACCCCCTATCCCCACATCGTTTTTCTCTAACCCCTCACGGAGAGAGAGCCCCAGCCCTGCTTGGCCGGAAAGGGCCAGGCACAGATCACCTCAGGGGCTCCTCCCTTACTCTTCTTCTTCCTTGCTGGCCACACCAGGAGTCCAGAAGGCTCCTGGCGGGTGGCAGAGGCTTGGGCAGCGTGGTACAGTGGGGAGAGTCCTGGGCTGGCCATCCAACAGGCCTGGACTCCTTGCTCCTGCACTGATCATCTGGTGAGCGTGCTCAGTTGCTAAGATGGCACTACAGCGTACCCTCCCTTCCCGAGGTGGTTGTGAAGATTAGATGGACAAAGCACGTGTAAGAGTGTCTGGCACAGACGAGACTTTCAATAAACTTTGGTTGACTATGAATTGAAGTGATATGAAGCATGCTTACATTTCATTCTGTCTTCACTGATGTCAGTCACCATTACCTGGGATCTTATCTTCCTGCACTCACAGGTCTGTCTTACCAATAACTGCCCATGGCCCCTTGCTGTCCCGCTGTCCTGTAGGGCCTACCCCCTTGGGCTTTGGGGCCTCTGGTGCCTTGGATTGCCCAGCAAGGCTTTTAACAGCTCCTAGGGCGTCGTGGCTATGTGTTGGGCCTCTTAAGTGCAAGGTCAGCAGTTTGAAACCACCAGATCCTCCTTGGGAGAAAGGGTACTGTGTACAGCGTTGGAAACTCACTGGGGCAGGTGTACAGTGCCCTGTAGGATTGGCATCGACTCGATGGAGGTGAGGTCAGTGTGTGAGCAGGAGACCTGAGAGAATGGTGTGTACCAGTGAAAGCCCCAGGTTCTAACTCATTCATCAGCTCAAGAAAAGGAAGTGTGGGGGGATGATCGGGAAAAGGTCCACTTTCGCATAGCGGATCCTAGAGGGGGAAAAAACGGCAGATACAAGTAATTTCAGATAATGTCTTAGGAAAGCACGGGCCGATTGGTTCACCGATTGGGGCTGAAGGCTGTGCTAAGGGCTGGATGTGAGCAAGGCCTCACGTTCGAGGTTAAGGCCAGGAAGGCGGGAGGGACGGACCCTCACCTCCGAAAGTCCCAGGTGAAAGTGCATCAATCCCAGGGCCAGCCCTGAGATCCCAACCCCGTGA